GGAGCTAATGACATAAATTTGTTTTGCCGTACAGTAGCAGCATATGGGCTTCTCTCAGTCCCAGGTGTACAGTAGCCTACATTTCATGTCAGCAGTGAAGCCAGTCATTACAGAGTCTGTCCCATACCATCTGGAAATTGATTCTTATACATTATATTTTAGGTCTTCCTTGCCAGAATGAAATGAATAGAATTCAAAAGCTAAGTAGAGGGAAGAGTCTGTTGGGTAAGTTCGATTACTTGCTATTCATTTACTCAGCTAATTAAAGCTTCTGTGATTATTGTAACTTTATATGCAGTAATGGTTTTTCAATTAGAGACTAATGTTTGGAGTCAGGAATATGCAGCACTGAGCGTAGGCCTGACACTATGAAATTAAACAAATAATGAGATAGCAACACACAGAACAGGTGTCAGTGTGGCAGCGGGTTCAGAACTAATTTACAGCTCTCCAGAAATGCAAAGCCTTGTCTGTAGAGCTTAATACTGCCTTGATCACCTCACAGGTCAGAGTAAGTACTGGGACGCTGCTTGATACTCAAGGCTCCCATTTTTGAAGGGTGACTGAAGGTGCATAGCCAATTCATTCATATTCCCTTCCAGTTATGGTGCAATGCAGGCTTTCCTTGGGGTTCATTCTTTAAAATATTTCAGTATGTTCTGTGTGTAAGAAAATAGGAATTCTTATCATCTCATTTTAGGCAGCCTGCAGGGTGCTTCATGCTGTAAGATGTGGTCATGCCTGTCCCTCTCCCTCATGCCTATTGGGAGCCTGAATTGATTCATGACTTATATTGCTCTGATGGATATCTAAAATTAGGATAAATAAATCCCCATCTGGCATTTTCCCAATTAATTGCTAAAAAATCAGGTTGCTGAACTGAAAACATTTCAGGTGACTAATTCCCTACCCTAAAATCACCCAGTGATGTGTAGCCTGGTGTTTGTGTGCTGGTGTTCTACTGAAGCTTGTGTCCCAGCACATTTGTGCACACAGAGCCCACCCCTGAGGAGCAGCAGGGCAGATGAAAACCCCCGTTAACAGCAAGCCCTGCACTTCACCCTTGAGGAGAGTGGCTGACCTCAGCCCCATCATGGAGAACATGTCAGGTTCCCACAGCATCAGCAGCTGCAGCACAGGGTGTGCACATCAGCTCTGCTGCAGTGCTGCTCCGTGCCCCCCACACTCCAGCTTGGTGTTCTGCACACTCAACAGCAGACCCTGCAAGCAGCTCAGCTCTGCCAAATCCTGCCATTCCCAGATGCCACTGCCATTTGGACTCAAGGTTCAGGTGCTTTATGAACAATCCCAACCAAATTCGTTGGTTTAAATTAAGAATAAACATTCCTAAAGGCCACAGGGACTGTGGTTTAGATCCATTATCTTTTCACAGCCAGTTCACTTGAAGATTAAGACGTTTCAGAGTTACAGCTCCTACTGTTCATAGCTGTGGGAGCAAAGGGAGGATTGATCACTTGGGGTATGTGTGCTCCATTCAGTAAATATTCTGCATTTGTGTTCAAGGGAATGTTGTGGCAAAGGAAGTCACAGTGTTCTCTGTCTCATGGGTGTCATGATTTTCAAAGCCACCTAAAAGAGTAAGAAGCCCAGTTCTTAATAGATAGCTTTGACTATCCCATATTTATTTTATGCTTTGCTGTTATTTTCTATGTGCAATAAATGTCATCTAGGTTGAAACATAAGTAGTTTATTCTGGTGTGTAGGAAGAATGATGCCTGGGTTGCAGGTAGTTCAACATGCAGGTGGTTGTAGCACATGTCACTGGGATCTGATCACAATAGCAGGAGTAAAATGACGAAGTAAAAGCAGTAAGGATGGTCCCTTAGCACAAATAACTTCTAGTCAACTGTATTAAAAAAAAAAAAAATAGAAGAAGAATGAAAGTGGTGAAGCTCAACAAATCAAGGTGTCAGGCACAGGTTGTTCCACAAGCTAGAAGATTACAATATAAAGAGGAACTCTTTGCTTCACCGACCCTGAAAGTCTTCCTGCATAATGACACCTGTCTGGAAGATTTTAATTTGATATCAGAGCTATTTGTACAGCAGAAAGCATTGTCTTTTCTCTTCACTGACTGAAAAATCATTCAAATGGAAGCACAAACATACACATGACTTGTAGCAACATTAAAGTTGGAGAGACTAATATTTTCAGAGAAACTAATCTTTAATTATTCTTTTTCCTCCTCTGACCCTGACAAAGAGAGCACAGCATTTACAGTAGCATGGGCAGTAGCATGAAGAATGTTTTTGTTAAGTTGTATCCATTGATAAAAATGATGACTTTTGATATTTCCTTCTCCATATATTTTTCAAAACACATGACAGTTGCAACAAAGTACTTCAAAGACATTGCCATTAGGTATTTGAATTTGGAGGCTTTCAAATGAAGTCTAGCGTCCCAGGAGACTGAATTAAAAAGTAAACAGCACTATTCATCTTTTCCTACCAGATTTATCTGGAGTACAATTAACTGCAGAGACTACACTTTTAGAACATACAACTGTGCAGCCTGATAATGCTTCTCCCACATCACTAAAGTAATAAATTTCTGCTCCCATCACTGTTTTCTCCTGTATCAACCCTGTGGATTCAGCTCATATAATAGCTAATACCAAGATCTGTGTGCTGGCTAGCACTTAATTCTGACAGGCTTTTACCTGTTTGCTTCACTATCTTTAGCATATAATTATTCTCCTCCTGTTCTCTAAGGAAGGGGAGTATTATGTAGATAAGGAAATAATATTACAAAAAAAGAGGCATAGGTCTGAGTCCATAAAGAGGATACAGATGAAACAGTGCTGGTCAAGTTTGTGTGGAATAACTAAACCCTTCCCAGGACAAAGGGCAATGGGGAGGCAGGATTCAGCAGCTTGAGGCAGTTTGTGGGGAGTGACTCACATTTTGTGGTGTCCAGGTTTGTGGGGAAGCACTGCCTGTGCAAGAACCTATGGAGAGGAAAGCTCCAGATATTCTCTGATGCCAAACCCAAATGGTCTGTCTAGGTGCCATGCTCCAGGATAGCAGAGCTTGTAGTCAGCTTATTTTTAACGAAGACAGGCTGATTTGTGTACAATTCACAGGGAGAATCATCACATTGTACAACACTTGTTCCCAGCAACTCTCTATCCTCTCCAGATTATCACCTGCACCTGACACATTGGAGAGGACATGCTGTATCTCCCCTCTGATGGTTGAAATACTGTGACATTAGTATGCATAGCTAAATATTTAAAGCTTCAGTGTTACATACAAATTGGCATGAATTTCCCACGCAGAAGGAAAAGTTCCTTCCACTCTTCTCTGTGACCCAAAGTGTGAATCTATTCCACACACAGTTATGTTGGCAGTGAGCCTGGGCCATAATTTATTTTTAAATCTTTTAAAGCTTTTATAGGTGACATGGAACATTTTCATGCCTTACAAGAAACAGTGAAACTATGCAAGAAGGCCTGTTTTAAAGAAGGAAAAGGTTGCATTGCCCTAGGAAAAGAGAAAGTATGAGACAGCTTAAAATGCAGAAGCTGTTCTCTGCTCACCCTGTAACGCCTCTGAGATCCTTCCCTGGAGCCAGATGCTCATCAGATATAAGAGGGCAGCTCTAGTGGCATGGGTACAGCTATGCTGATTTACACTAGCTCCAAGTCAGCACCTGACCACTTTTCCCAAGGTTGTGTATGGTTTGATAAACACCTGGAGTGCTTATCAGAGACAGGACATGAGCATAAATATGAAAAAAAAAATCTTTTCTAATCAATATTGAAATAAAGTTTTGAACACTGAGTATTAACTTACCTGCCAAGGCAAATACATACATTTGTTATTAAAACTATTGTCTTATAAACAGTGAAAATTAATCTTTGATAGTTGCTAGCATGCTTACATTTGTACGTGAACATAATGGTGGTACCTATTAGCAAACCTGATATAAGATCATGCTTTGACATTATTTAAAATACTCTCACTCATGAATGTGGTCTCCAAAACTCATCTGATAAACAAATATTTCTGCAGATGTTCAAAGGTTTCTCTTTTCATCTTGCAGACCTGTATTAGCAGGACTCAAACACTAGACAAGATCTGCAGAGCAATGAGTGTGGATATTCAGATTCATTTTGTGTTGCTCTCTGTGTGCATGAGACTGACTGACTTCCAGTTTTATGTCTTTTATACAGGAAATGTGGTGACATTTGGGCAGCACCTTCTCATTCATTTTTTCTTGTGAGAAATGTAGTGGAAGTGGCCCCTTTGACACATGTGCTGTCTGAATAGATGCTACCCATGGAACTAGTTAAAAAACCTCACTGAACCACCAGTAGATCACTGGTATCTTTGAAAAGGAGAAAAACACTTTCTCAAAAATCGTTTGAGACAAGATATTTGGGGGCAAGGGTGTGTTTATGCCATGTTTCAAAATGAAGCAATTGACAAAGAAGGGAAAAATGAATGTACTGACCTCCAGTGGGGAAAAGCTAATTCATCTCCAAGGACAAGAGGGCTTTTCATATTGAAGTACATTTGCTGTATCTGCTGAAAATGGTGGCAATAATGATATAGGTTTCTCCTGAGAGTTTCCCTCTCTGCAGAAGCCAGAGTGAACCACACTCTACAAGGCTGAAATATATTTGTTTTATTGTGAGACAAAATTTGGGCTTCAAATCCAAAGACTTACTGATTCAAATCCTGTTGTCCCTCTCTGTAAAGCCTGTGCATTATTTCTTCTTCTATACATGGGAACTGTCAGTAAGTCAGGGGATGTTCCTGAGATTAGCATGAATAGCAAGCAGATGGCAGATACCTTCCAGGAATAATTACAGTGTTGTGGAAAGACTCATGTGATAAACACTGAAGGAGTGTAAATGGAGGGAAATGCAGAACTAATGAAGTTGGGGTAATAATCCGGTTGGAAAGAAAAGTTTAGAGCCAGGAGTTAAATGTGAAAAGACTCTGTGGGAATATCAATCATTCAGGGACAGACTGAACCTCTCTCTAGAACTGTGTGACACCCTCCTCCGTGTGCTGGATGCGAACAAACATTTGTACACTGTGACCAGGGTGTCTGAAAAGAGTAAACCAGAAATAATTTCTTCCTCCTTTCAGGCACCAGATTATCACATGTATATCCTTGCCAACACAGTCGAGATCTTCATGTATATAAGTGCTAAGTTCATAATACCCTCTCTGTGTTTGCTCCTGCAGAGGATTGCATTACTGAGCACACCTTATATTTTATTCAGGTGCTTTCATCCCCCGGTGCAATGAGGAAGGTTATTACAAAGCCACGCAGTGCCATGGCAGCACGGGACAGTGCTGGTGTGTTGATAAGTATGGGAATGAGATAGCTGGCTCCAGAAAGCAAGGCACAGTCAGCTGTGGTGAGTAATGATCTGCTTTCCTCAGACAGCAGGGGAATTAACACTGCTGTAAGCCCTGCCATTGTTGTACCACCGAGTATGATAACAAAAGAGAAACACACAAGTACCAGGTTCAAAGTGCTCCTCTGTTTTCCTCTACACATGGGGCCCTCATGGGTGCTTTGGACAGCAGGGGTGCAGCACAAGTTAGCAGGCAATAACCACTGTTGAGATATTTTTGCTACCAGCCTGGAAAGTACAGTTAATGATATTAAAATTAAGGGTCTGAGGTTGCTCTGCGTGGTTATTAAATATAATGTTCTGTGTACTCTGGAATGCACATCTACTGGAAATTCATCTATAATGCCTTTCCAGACAAGGGAAGGCCTAAATTGTGAAATTGTATACATTAGCAACCAAGCCAAATGAAATTGCTGACAGGACAATATGATGTAGGTAAGTGAAATCACCAATTAGCTGTTGTGCCTGTACAAGGAGATGTACCTGTAATCCTTCAGAGTGCTCTGGGGATGGTTGTGAGTCCAGCTACAGACCTAGAAGGTCCAGGATGCCCAGAATCACATCACAGATCTTAGGTTCAACAGCTACATTTGCAGAGTGAGGTTTATGCACTCAAAACCATTTTTTTGTATTTTTTAGCCTGGTTTACAGAGACAGGATGGAATGAAAGTATTTACAAAGGAATAATGATTTTCTGGCCTGCATCCATGTGATCTGGAACTTTCCAGTCAACCCTTTAGGAGGGGGACAATGCATAGGGGGCATTTTATGCAAGAAAATTTTTCAGAGTCAATTGATATATATTTATCCCAGTTCAGAATGAAAATTGAAATTTTAAGGTTGTTTCATGAATAGCTGAACAAATTAATTTAAAAAATAACATTGCAAATGACAGTGGCTTGCATGACAAGGATAGTGATTAATGTGGAATTTGGTGTTCTGTGGAAATGACCTTTCCTGCTCTCCTGTTCCAGAAGAAGAGCAAGAAACTTCAGGGGATTTTGGCAGTGGTGGATCTGTTGTATTGTTGGATGATTTGGAAGAGGAACCTGAAGCAACAAAAAAAGACAAAGAAGGGAAACTGAAGATTCATGTAAGAGCAGCTAATGAAGATGATGAAGATGAAGATGATGATAAGGATGATGAAATTGGTTATATATGGTAGTGCCCATCATAATGAGGACTCACGTTTTGCACAATATTGCAACTCACATAATATCTCTGCAATTGTATCTGAGAGTACCTGGCACAAATATTCCCTCTACTGAGTTTAATTTTGTATAGTCAATTTAATTTGGATGACAACTTTTTTTTTCCAGCAAGGACTGTTTGGGATACAGCTTTTGTTCAATTGGTTTGGGGGATTTTTTTTCTGTCCACAGGGGCAATGAGTTTAGTTTCAAACCCATTTTGTGTCTTAATTAATCCTCACTTGCACCACTTACGAAATCCATCCTGTGAAAGAATCCTGGAAGGGTCTCAAAAAAAAAACAAACAATACAAAGGCTTAGAAGCCCCTCTCATGTCAGAGAACTTGTGTCATTAATTGTTACTTGGATCATATCAGAAAAAGCTTTTTTTTTCATGAAGAAGGAAAAGTAGCTGCCTCATTTTCTAGTCCACATTTATAATGTCCCAGTGAAGAGTAAGTCTCTTTGGACAGTGGCTGCCCAGTACCAGGGCTTTAATCCAGAAGAAAACCCACGGGCAGGACTTTCCCTTCCTTCCCTTCTCTTAGAATGAGTCCAGTAGGCTTATCCAGCTCACACTGAAGGCAAAACTCCCACCAGGGCACAGGTCAGCTCACTGACACTCTTTATTTGATAAAAGAACGTGCCCTTGACCTTAAAAGATGCTGAGAACCTGCAGCTGTCCTGGACCAAGCCCTAAGGCAGGGGACAGAGTCCATCTTCCTTTCAGAGTGTTTAAGGGAAGAGTATTTTGTGAATTTGTAGCATCATAACCACCCCCAGAGCTGTTCCTCAGCTGCTGTCTGAGCTCATTTGCACTAGGAGGGTTTCAAAGAACACACAGGCAGCCTCTGCTTCCAGCTACACACCACAGACCTGTCTGGTCTCCATTCAGCAACCCTCCTTCCAAAGCTGGAATGCTGTCAAAGACATGAACCCAAAAGTAACTGTCACTGATTTAATGTAAAGATACCTGTTTAAAACAGCAGCTTTAGGTGGTGGTATTTCAGAAGCATAACCCCTTGGCTCAGTGTGATGCTGCACACTTGTAAACACACTGCTAAAAAAGAATAGTATTAAAATCCAATCTGTGATTCCCTCAATACCTCCCATATATTCAAAGCTCTTGTATCAGAGCATATTGACATTACATTATTTGCAGTGTCCTTTTCCATGGCAGTTCTCAGTAATGTGCTGTGGTGACCTTTTATTATTTTTGCTGTTTTGTGAAGCAGTAAGAGGAACCTTAATCCCACTCTTGCATTAGGATGCAGGTGTGAGTATTTTAGCAGTGCTTGTGGTTGGCCAGTGAGTTATTTTGCAGAATGAAAAACATGTTTTTATAACAAAAACTAATTAGATTTTTTTTTTCTGAGTTGTAGTGGATATAGAGGTGGAGACAGCACCAAGTCACAACATGGTTGACCACATAGTCATTTGAAAGCTGGAAAGTACCACAGAGATTGGCAGAAGTCATTTTGTTAGGTACATTGGCCTGGGGATGTTGGCTCTCAGCCCTCTCCAAAGCCAGTGCCTGCCTGGCAGTCCTCTGGGTAGGACCTCTGCTTTCAGACGTGATCAGAAATGGAATTCCTTTCAGGTACCATGTGCTGCAGGGGCTCTCCTGTTTTCTCCTCTTTTATTTCCTTTTTATCCAGATCAATGACCTGAGAACAAAGAGCAAGCCTGCATAATCATTATTAATGCAGAAGGATGTGTAAAACCATGAGGAATTTGTTGTTTCACGCCCCTGCATCCTCCCAAAAATCTGCCATCACAGTCACTTGCAAAAGGCCTGCAATCTGCCCTGCCTCAAATAAATCCCTTTGGTTTTCCCATAGCTTTAGAAAAATATATTTAATAGTCATTTTCCATGAGCTGCACTGCACACAGAGACACACACACACATACACACTTTTTCTATTTGCCTTTCACAGAAATCCTGCCAACTTGCAGAAGGAGCAGATAATCCAGCATTTCTGTCTCCCTAAATATGATTTTGTGGGAAGCAATTGAACATCATCAGTAGGTTCCTTCTCAAACGTCCTGTCTAGTTTGCCTCTGGTGTTTTTTTAATTAACCCCACACTCTCTGGCTCTGTTGTCCTGTGCAAGACCTGCTTGTGGCACAGAGCTGCCATTTCATTCTGACATAAATCTGAGCTCCACAATCAGCAGATTATGCTTATCCTCCTGACTGGACTCATTCTCCACGCAGAGCTAGGGGGTTTTTGGCAGTCCTGTGTCCCTCCACAATGGCTTATCCTGGGCTATACATTACATCAAAGGTCACAGAGCAAATCCCTTCTGCTGCCCTGCACCTCCCCAGGGTGAAGTCTGTGAATCCAAGCCCTTGCAGGCAGTACCTGAGGCTGCAGTGGGCTGTGTCACATGTAAACATGCAAGATGGTTAAATCAAAGTTGTTAAATAAGCCTTTAAAAGTGAACGTGAACATCTTTGCGTTTACATGCACAGACATGGCAGCAGCACCCACTGGTGGTCTCCTGGCTGTGATCTTTCACATGCTTCCAAATCAGAGCTGGAAGGGTTTGTATCTGTCCCAGACTCACCAGCTCAAACATGGGATGGGTCCCAGTGAAACAGCTCCACGCCCAGCACAGCCTGGTGAGAGGACAGGTGCCTTGGCTGGCTCAGCACATCCCCCTGTGCTCACACAAACACACCCAGTTGTTCTAAGCCTGCTGGCCTGGATCCAGGCAGCCTCTCCCCTCCTGGTGACCACTCAGTCGCCTGTTTGACTCGTCCAAGTGTTCTTCTGACTCAGCCAGCATGGGAAGTGTGCCATTTTATGGGCTGGGAAGCTGGGGGGGCTGCAGGGCAGCAGTGCCCAATCCCAGGGGTCCCAGCCAGGCAGGAGCAGGGCACACAGGCTGCCGTGCTTGGAAGGGCAGCACAGACTCTGGACTGCTTTGAGAGCAAGTTCCCAAATCCTGCAAAGCTATTTAACAAAGCCCTTTTGAGATCCACTGGCATCTTCCCATGGTGGGGGATCTGTGGCCTATAAATATACATATGTATATATATATATATATGTGTATGTATATATATGTGTATGTATATCTATATAAATATATATATAAATATATATATACACATATATATCTGTGTGACTGTATAACTACATTTATGCACAAATATGTGTGTACATATGTATGTGTGTATCCACACATACAGTTTGGGGAGATGCATTAAGAAAATCTTCTATTTAATGAAATAGTGATAAAGAGACCAGCGATTCTACCAAGAACCAGTGCTCTTCCAGATCAAGCCCCTTCCATTCTTCATGCCTTGTAAAGGGTTTAATTTGCTTCCAACTTAATTTAATTCAATTCCATTCTTTTTCTCTTTCCTTTTTTTTTTTTTTTTACAAATCAGGACTGACTTCCCGTCTGAATCAAGTCATTGACCTTCCAAACATTTTCTCATTGTGAAAAATGGATTCTGAGTTGTCCCATTTTTTTAGAGACACAAACCAAATGGAATCAGAGTTGTCCCATTCTTTTAGAAACACAAACCAATTTTTAATCTCATTTTCTTTTCATATTACAGTCTACGAGATACTGATAGGCATTGCTTTAATGTTTCTTTGAACTACTGTAGTTAAAATGTTGAGTTCAGATTTCAGCACAGCCAGGTTTTTTGGGTCATTACTGGCCTTTGCTATGAACACAAAGAATCCTCTTTATTTTCTTTGCCTTTTTTTTAAGCTATTCTGTACTATTATTTTAAACCATTTGAAGTGTTTATTTAATATTTATTCTACAGTTTATATTGAAAATGTAAAGTTTATATTTAAAACAACACTGTTTGTTAGTGAATGCTTCTCTTTGCCTCCCCAGCCTAGTCTGTTAGTCTCAGTGTACATTTCTGGCATGGGAATATTTTGATATTAGGAGTTTTGTAGCCTTTTCTCCCTCAAGCAGCAACTGATGTAGATCTAAGGTCACCACCTGACCCAGACCACCAGGTCGCTCAAGCTTCGCTTCCTCCATTTGTTGTCTTCTCTCGCAGTCCATCCTGTATCCCATCCTTTCATCCACAGACTGCTTTGTACAGTTACTACACATCAAAAAGCCCTTTCTACAGTAGGTGGGTTTTGGTCTTTTTATACTTTTCTCAATGCTGTTGATGTCTGTTACTGTTCAATGTGTAGATCTGTAAGGAGAGATCCAAATATTCTGTGTTTCAGTTCGATGTCCCTACTGTAGATGGATGTAGACTATCATAGTAAGTAGAACTGCATAGTAAATTCTGAATGCTTTTTCCATAAGGAGTTAAGTGGAATGTGAGCATTTTGCTACCTTTGGTTGACTGTAAATGCTTAACTGTAGTCTGAAATAGTTGCATTTTTGTCTGTCTCAATAAATTTTAATTTGTCTGTGACTCCTTATTGCCTGTCCTGAATTTTATTAAACTTAGGGGATCAAAAATACTGCACTACCATGAATCAGCATTTAATCCTACATGGAAATGGATGCTCCTTTATATTTGCTTCATAACTTATACCTCTGTTCAATGCCAGCATTAACTCTCTGGAGTTAATGCAAGGTCTCCAGAAACTTCTATTTTAGAAGCAGAAATGAAACCAAACCTAATGGAATAACTGTACCAAAAACAGAACTTTTCAAATTATATTAAAATTTATTTTTAAGGAATCTAGCAAGGGCCGAGGGGGAAGCTTTCATTTCTGTTTCCTCTCCACATTGCAAATTGTCATGTTTTTCTGTCTATTCTGAAGGTATCCAGGGCAATCCCACAAACACAGCCACACTCTGCAGTGGCCATTATCTACATGACACATGAAGGCAAAATTTTATTAAATAGAATTGGTGGGAAGCCATCCTCATTTAGAAATACCTGGGTTTGTGTCTCTATAATTAAATTAGAGCTCCTGTTTAATATTATTAACCTATTTAAGCAGCCAGCATTATTGCAGTGCTAATTACAGATTTAAAAATGTTATTTCATCACCTTTTCCCTGTCTGTGGTACATTAAAAGTACCAGATAAAAACAGAAACCTATTTGCAGGCATTTGCACAATTGTCCTCTCACCAGGTATGCACTGAAGATGTACCTGCCCATACACCATTGGCTGAGCTGGGCCATCAAGGGTCAGAACCTGCCTGAAATTTTGGTTCAATTTCCTGTATTTATTGGTTTCTTTTCACTGTGTGTACCACACACCACTTGCAGTACATCACCTTACCTGACTCAGAATAACTGGGTTTTCCCTTTCCCAAATCACTCTGAGACTCTTGAAGTGTTTGATCTTCTGTGCTGAAGTGTCTCAGCTGTTCCAGATGTCAGATGCTGTGTGTAGCACTGGGACCAAAGCAAAAGAAATACAGAGCTTAAAGGTGTGTGAGTTGCAAATGAGATTTTAGCTTTCAGAAAGGGTTGATGATTTGAGCTCTATTTTTTTTTAATATTCCTTCTAGCTTTCAAATTGCAGGCACCTTGCAAGCTTTGTTTTGTATTACACATGCATAGCTATGCACGCACCACTCCCTTCTAATTGCAAATGTGTGTATAAATAGATATTTAATACATGCATATATATATATCTTTAGACCCCCCTGGGAGTGGGATATCCATTGGAATTTTGGGATATCCATTTCTGGGAATTCCTTGTATGCCTCATAAAAGGTTCAGCTTGTGTTTTATCATTCCTACTTTGCTACTCCCTCCTGTAACAACTTGTACTGGGCTTAATGCTGTACCTTGGTTTCATACATTAAAATACTCCTAGTAGATTATTATATCCAGCCTGTCATGTCCTGATAGGCTGCACTGATTTATATTTAGCTTTTCCATTACTCTGTCCTCCATTTTCAGAGAATCTTGGACTAATTTCCATTAACTCTGTGCCAGGAGATACAGTCTTTTCTTCCCCACTGATACTGAAGAGTGTCTGTGGCTGAAATGTTGCTCCAGCAATAGTAAAAGGGCACTTGGAGTTCAAGGTAAGATGTTAGCAGGAACAGCTCTTACCTGGAGGACAGTGGAGTCCATCCATACCCAAATGCTGTGCTTTGCATCCTCAGTGAAATCTGCAGTACCGGGGTAGGGATCATACCTTTGCATGGAAAGGAGCACTCAGGACAAAGTTACAGAAATTACCTTTTTTTCACTGTTTTCCAATATATGCTTTCCTTATCTTACTAATATTACTTTGCAAATGAATATACTTTTTGTTTTGTTCTGTGAAACCTCCAATGCAAGATGCATGCACACACTTATACACACAACTCCTCTCTCTCTTGCTCTCTTTTATATCTTCTCTTACAAAATTTTCTTCTGAGCTCCCCAGCAGCTATAAAACTGTAGCATTACAGCTTTCACTGATAATTAGTTTCATTTTTCCTTAAATACTGACAGTCAAAGGGTGAGATATTAAAAAAGAAAAATCATGTCACAAAAGCTTTGCACATTGTACCGCTTTTTGAATAGATTAAAAAGAGGCAGAGAGCTATTAATAAGCTTTTGACTTCCTGAACACTCACATTTTTGGAAGGAGACCAGCTCTTTTAGAGGGAGTGAGGAGGCAGAGTAAAGAGATGGTTTCATGTAGTCTTGGAAAGAGAAGGAAAACAGTGAAACCAACAGATTTGGGCAAGCTGTGAATGAGGGAGATGTGTCCTCCGAGCATGGACAGAGAAGTCCTGTCCACTTCTTCCAGGACTGAACCTAGTTATTCCCAGTGGAGAATTCCCAGTAACTGGAGCAGCTTGGGATCAGCCCATGAAAACCCAGAAACTGCAGAAGCAGGTTCCTGCTACAGGCTGGGCAATATCCAGTAATTGCTTCAGCTGAATCCCTGAAAACAAGGCTCAGAGCACACAAACCACACAGTGGCACTCCAGGAGGAAGGGAAGAGCAAGGCCAGAAGCAAATTCTGATGTTGCAGCAGTCTGTCAGCCCAGCAGTGAGGGAGAGGCACGTAGAGGCTCTGATGGGAGCATTCAGTGGCTCTGCAGTCGCCCTCCCAGCTGTAGCTGTGCAAGAAACCCCTCTGACAGCAGCCTTAGAAAAAGAAATACAGCCACTGCTCTTGAGCAGCAGCTTCTTCCACATAGCACTATAAATTCCTGCAATTCCATGCTAAAGGCTTGGGCAGAGAGAGAGTTTGTAAAGAAAACTTAAAATGCAGGATCTTTGCCAGGTAGTAACTGCCTTTTCTCATCTATAGTTACTCAATAAAAATCATTGCTGGAGCATGACTCTGCTTCCATTCCCAGCCAATACATTTGCAGTCTGGCCCTGGAACACGGGAAAATCAACCTCGGAGCATATTGCTAAAGGAAAGGTCCATAAGCACATTGGTTTAAGCTTTGGAAAGACATTACCTCTAAAATTATTTGGAGGGTTTGAGAGACTTGCAGGTTTGACACTGATTTTTCTTTATTGAGTATCACAAATCTGGTTAATGCAAATATATTCGAGTAAGAGTCTGTATAAGTAGAAGCCCCGACACAGTTTTGCTCTATCACAGATGATGTATCAATTTATCACAACTGCAGAGAATTGACCCAAATAACTACTAGCCTAAAGTAAAATGAAATAAAACAGAGACTGTTACAAGATGTAGGTTCTCACAGATTAATGTAGGCTGTTGAAATACTTTGGGTTACAAGGGGCTGTTACAGAAGATCAATATCCCCATTGCTTTTGGTCTGGGTACGAATCCAACGCCTGCAGTCAGCTTTGGTGGTTGTTAGAGACCCTAAAGCTGCAGCTCAGCCCTTCAGCCCTCCTGGTACAGCAGGAGGAGCTGGCAGACACAGAGACACATAAACAACAAACACATCTGCTGAACACCTTCCTCATCATGTACAGCACCAGCCAGCTTGGAAAGGTGGGCACTAAGCAGTTACACAGAAAGAATTACCACAGATTTGTTTTGGCAGGCAGGAGAGCCCAATTTGGCTCAGCTGGCTGTAGTGGTGGAGACAAACATCAGGCTGGTTGTTAAACTACCCAAAATAACTC